AAGAAGAGCCCTGGCCCCATGCACCCCCACCACCCTCTCCTGCCCCAGCTGCCGTGCCCCTCACCCGTGCAGCCCCCTGCTGAAGAGGCGCCTCAGCCGGCAGCCCCCCTGGAACCTTCCGTGCCGGCCCCGGGCCCTGTGACCACTGAGGAGAGCCCCCAGCTGCCACCCCTCAACGTCGTGCCCCCGGAGGCTCCTGGGGACGAGCAGGAGGTGAAGCCACGTCCCATCATCCCCATGCTGTACGTGGTGCCGCGGCCCAGCCAGGCTGTCTGTGACAAGGGCCGCGTGTCCTGCCAGCAGGCCTTTGAGCACTTTGTCCAGAAGGGCCCCACGTGGAAGGAGCAGGCAGCCCCCATGGAGCTGACAGGTCCCGAGGAGGAGAGTGGACCTCCTGGCGAGGTGCAGGTAGGTGGTGGGTACCAGCAGTGGTCCCTGCCACTGAGCAGGGGGTCCCCGGGACTCTGCCCAGCAGGTGGCCTACGCATGGTGAGGACGCAGAGTGACCCGAAAGGGCTGGTAGCCTTACCTCCTGTGGGATGGGTCTGATCTGGGGCGCAGATGGATTCTTGTTATGTTTTAGGCGGCATCAACGTTTTCCAAGTTGAAGATGGAAATCAAGAAGAGCCGGCGTCACCCTCTGGGCAAGCCACCCACACGGTCCCCACTCTCCGTGGTCAAGCAGGAAGCCTCAAGTGACGAGGGTAAGCAGGGGCTGTTCCTGGGAAGGGCTCCCTCGGACCCCAGCTGTGAGCCCCACCCACCGTCCCTAGTTGCTCCTCCCCTCTGCCTCCTGGCCACGTGGGTACCCCGGGTTTCCCCCCCCTTTACACCCTCAGGGTCAGGCTTCCTTGTCCCCAGGGCACCGGTCCTCAGGCCCGGCCCCAGCTCACAGCCTGGAGGGCCACCCAAGGCTCAGGAGCCCCACTGTGCACCTGTCCAGGGCCTGAGAAGACTGGCCGGGCAGTCGTAGGGCCTGCGTCACCCAAACAAAACCCCAGCCCACCACCTGCGCTCAGGCTGTGGGCGCCATCTGCCTTCTGTGACTTGGTT